TCTATCTTTCAATTAGGTCCACCTGGTTCTCCTGGTCCTCAAGGTTTTCAAGGTACACGAGGTGAAACCGGTGAATTGGGTTCTCCAGGTCCTCCTGGCATGCCAGGTCCTAGGGGTTTACCAGGATTGCCTGGAAAAGACGTAAGACTATTTTTATATATATTTAATTTGTTTCTTATATTTAAAATTTATGTATAATAATATTTTTACATTTATTTTATTTTATTTACAAACTACATATGTATAAATAATTATATATTACATATTATATTTAAATAAAATATTTTATATAAATATTTTATTTAAATATAATATGTAATAATATGTTTTATTAACAATAGGGTATCAGTGGAGAAGATGGCGAAACTGGTCCATCAGGATCGCCTGGTCTTGTGGGACAACGTGGCCTTCCAGGAATACCTGGGCTTCCAGGGCTAAAAGGTCACCGTGGTTTTCCAGGTTTAGATGGTGCCAAAGGTGAGCAAGGAACTTCTGGTGAAAAAGGATCTATGGGCTCGCCTGGACCGATGGGACCAGTAGGACCAATGGTATGTAAATAATGCTATTAGGAATAAGTATGTGTATAATATTAAAATAAATTTACAAAAATACACTACTTAACACAATTAAAACACAATTAAAACATCATCTGTTCTAGCCTGTAAAAATTTCAAGATGAAATAACTTCGTAAAAAATTAAATACATATCAAAATGTTTAAAAAAGTATTTTACAATTTGAAATCTCTACTTTTCAGATCGATTTTTTTTCGGTGAAATTCCACGGCACGAATTAAAAATTGCATACAAATGTGGTACAGCTTTCGAAAGAGTAAATTTTTATCTTTAATTTGCTTTTTTATTGAGCTCTGATTAACGATTTTTTTTCACTGAATTAGTCAATATTAAAGTAAAAAAAGGTCAGTTTTCGAATGCTAAATCGCATTTGTATGCAATTTTTAATTCGCATTGTGGAACTTCAAAAATTTCATTTAAAATTTTGAGATTTGATGCATCTTCATTTATATTTGTATAACTTTATAAAATATCAGTAAAATCGTTTTCTAAAGTAATGATCTGAAAGATAGAAATTTTTCAAGCCGTAAAATGCTTTTTTAAACATCTCGATACAAAGATTTTTCACGAAGTTATTCCGTTTTGAAATTTGCTTATTTTTACATGATGCAACGCTTTAATTTTGTTGAGCAGTGTATATTGTATTCTCATAAATCAGGTAAATTTTAATGTTAAAAACAGAGATAAAACATTTTTCTGTATAAATATTGAATATTGTTGACACAGGGTCCAGCTGGACCTCGCGGTGAAAGAGGTAGAGAAGGTTCGTCGGGCCCTCCTGGATTGAGAGGTCTTGACGGAATTGCTGGGCTGCCTGGGCAACCCGTAAGTAAGCTAAGCAATTGTTACTTCACAATTTAGAGATTAGAATACTGCATGTATTAAGGTATATGCAATATTTCAATGAATTTCCTTGAAGTTCTTTGAAAAATTTGTAATTCTTTACGAATATTTATGCATTTGCTTAATTATTAATTATTTATCTAAACATATATACTTTTCACTATATACTTTTATTTAAATGCAATATTAATATTGTTTGTAGGGTGTTATAGGCAAACCTGGCTCACCAGGTTTTCCAGGCAATCCTGGAATTAAAGGTGATCAAGGACCGCAAGGACCGACAGGAAACCAGGGTTTGCAAGGCCCACGAGGTAAGATATTTCAATTTTCATTTAAAGACATGAAGACATATATATATTGCTGATTAGTTTTATGTTATATTTATTTAAGAAGATGGTTTTATTTATTTTTTTTTATTTTAATCAATATTTTATAATAAAGGCGAAAGTGGCCGTCCAGGACAACCTGGCGAAACTGGTCCACAAGGTCCTCAAGGCAAAGATGGAATTCCGGGTGAGAAAGGAGCCACTGGAGCAATAGGATCCGTTGGTGTGGTCGGGTTTCCGGGTGCTCAAGGTCAACCTGGAACACCGGGTAATCCTGGTATCCCTGGCGCCAAAGGAGCACCTGTGCGCATAAATACCAACAAGAAATAATTCGAGAACTGTAAAAGTTACTTTTTATAAAACCTTAATGATATCCTTACAGGGCCTTCCTGGTGATAGAGGGTTAAAAGGAGATACTGGAGTGAAAGGTGATGCTCCGGGACCTCCTGGGAATGAGGGCAAAAGAGGCAAAAGGGGTATGCGTGGGCCAATCGGTTCTGTAGGACCTCCTGGAGAACGTGGCGTACCTGGAGAACGTGGTTTTCCTGGATCGGATGGTCCTATCGGGCCTCAAGGTATTATTTATTATACGTTGTATATACATCCCTGGCAGAGCAAAAATTTTTACGAAAATGTACAGAAAAACTACGTAGATCGAGACAAGATTTTAGAAATTTTTAATTTTTCATAAATATTCATAGAGAGACGTAGAGTGGCATTGTTTGAAGACGGAAGGTTTCTAGGTTTTTTCAAACAACACCGTTTTAGATAGTATAGATTCGTAGTCCTATTACGAATATCTATGAAAAACTAATAATTTCTAAAATCTTGTCTCAATCTATGTACTTTTTTTGTAAAAGTTTTTCCGCTACTATATGTATATATTATATATATTTATATCTACATATATACATAGAGGAAAAGTCCCTATTATGAGATACCGAGTTCATTTTGGGTAAATGCTAGAAATCTATGGGCAGAATTTAAAAAAATAATAGATTATTTTAAAAGGAATTTAGTAAACTTTAAGATAATGTAATGTAAAATTTAATTCAAATTTCATTATTTTTATAAATTAAAGAATTGCAAAAAGTGAGCAAATCGCAAAGTTAAAAAATTGTGCTCCTAATATGAAATGTTTTGAAAAATCGATAATAAAACGCAAAGTACTCAGTACAAGTATTGCAATTAAAAAAAAAACTTTATTTAATGTTTCTAAAATACAAATAAACATAGCCAGTGCGCGTAAGATATTATAATATAAAAAAAAATATATTTATAATAAATTATTTAAAAAATGCAAAATTTGGAACAGTAATATTTACATATAACATTTTTTAAAATAATTTATTATAAACATATTTTGTTGTTATATTAATCTTTTGAAAAACGCAAATAGAAGAAAGATTTTTTAATATAAAAATACAAAGTGATTAGAATAATGATATCACCATTAGGAAAAAACATTTCAATATACTGATTAACTATTTAGTAACTGATAAAATATCATTAGTTACTGAATAGTAGAATTAATCAGTATACTGAAATACTTTCTCTTAAGAGCAAAAATTAATTTATAATATTTTTGTTCATATTTTACTCATTATTAGTCTAAAAAAAAGAGTGATCGAAAAAAAATGGTTTTTCGCTCTTTTTTTGGGTCCTCAATTTTTAGATTGAACTGTGTGCCAAATGATACCCTATAACAAGATATTAATTATAAAGATAAGAAGTTTTAAGTTGAGATGACTGTTATTGTAGCTTGAGGGAGGAAGGGAGATTACATCTATACGAAAATCTATTTTTTTTTAATTTAAAACAAATTGATTTATAATATTACTAGAATAAATGATGTTGAGTGATCTTGCCTTTATCGGCTGGATCAACTGCAATCTTGTCATCATTGGTTGGATCGAGAGCGGTGTACTTGCACACAATTCAATTGTATACATCACTCACATCGGCCAGTTCCCAGTAATTTTTAACTGTTTTACCAATGAGATTATATTATTTTAAATTAGCGATGTGGGCAATTGATGTACATCTGGCTGGATCAACTATCTTAAAATATTGGAATACTCGTAGACCTAATTTGATAATGAATTTTGATTTTACCTCCTATCTCTCAGATTTGATAACAATTATCACTTCAATTAGAAAATTTTTTGTGATTAATATCTCATTATAAATTTGGCACACAGTTCAGTTCCAAAATGGAGAGTCCAAAATGGGCGATTTTTTTAGTCATTTTTTCAACTTTTAGATATTTAATTTATGATAAAATTTACAAAATTCTCTCCATAGTGTGTGTGTGTGTGTGTGTGTGTGTGTGTGTATATTATGACAACATTGGTACATATTCTATGTTTTAAAAAACGCAAAATATGATAATTATAATAATTATAAGTATAATAATTATTAGGGCAACCTGGTGATCGTGGTCCTGCAGGAACTGTTGGATCAAAAGGCGCTACTGGAGATCCTGGACGACCCGGACCGGCAGGATTACAGGTATATAGTAACATTGTGTCCGGAAACCTCGATTCTTCAGTTAATTTGAATTTGAGCGAAAAAATATCAAGATACGTGACACATACTTGAAAACAAACAAGTACGCGCACAACAAGTACGTAAGCAGATGGTGCAATGATGTAATACTGGACACATAATCGACGACAATATCTAATGTAAGCAGTAGGATGCGTTTCACATATTAATTTAATTTTATTCATTGAGAAGGATTGTATTACAATATAATATAATATTATATATATAATACAATATATATAAAATTGTATTACATTAATGTAATATTTTATAAGAAAAATATACATAAGATATACATAATATTATATATACTATAATAAGAAATATACATAACATATATACCCGGCACTCAAATACCAGCCAGGCTCGATTTTATAGCTTCATTTTAACTTGTTGAATTTTATTCTATCGAGCTATACAATATAATATTTTTATAGTAAAATTTTAACATATTATGTATTGTAAAAGTATTATATTTGATATATAACTATTGAATAAAAAATTCAGGGTGCACGTGGTTTAATGGGTAGGCCCGGAGCCTCCGGAAAACCAGGTAATCCTGGGGAACGTGGAATTCAAGGTGCGGATGGCAAGCCTGGAGAACAGGGATTGCCTGGATTGCAGGGTCTACCAGGACCAATAGGAACACCAGGGGAAAGAGGATATTCTGTAATTGATTAATGATTCTCCGTAACGAGTATACAGTAATAAATATAATCTATATATAATTTGAACATAAAAATATTTTTGTATACAATATAAAAATAAAGCTTAACAATGTAAGTATTAATACAAACATTAATATTATATTATATTATCTCTAATGCTATGATATTTTTTCAAACTTTTATTGTATTAGGGAGAACGTGGAAAAGATGGTGAGCCTGGCAATCCAGGCCCGCCTGGTCCAAGAGGAGATACTGGTAAAGAAGGACTTCCAGGAGTACAGGGTCTACCAGGTCCATCAGGAAGCGACGGCGCGCGAGGTCTTCCGGGACCCATTGGTTCTAGAGGTTTTCAAGTACGCAGCGTAGAAATATATTGTAATTCTCGTAATGTAGAGGATAAAATGTAATTTATTAAATAAAACATGTGCTTGTACATACACAGGGTCTTCCAGGTGCCGCCGGTAATCCGGGTGTTCCAGGCAAGGACGGAGAAGCAGGAGTACAAGGACATCCCGGTCCGCCAGGAATGGTCGGCGATAGAGGCGATCGAGGATTTCCGGGAGAAAGAGGACTTATTGGACCTCCAGGACCTATGGGACCTAGAGGAGAAACTGGAACACAAGGCTCTGATGGTCTCATTGTATGTCTTATATTCCGATTTTGGACATTCATATTATTTAGAGATGCGTTCCAAGTTAAGCATAAAGCGCATGATGTATCATTTGTCTCTGTGTTGCTCACCTAATTATAAAGAAGAATAGAACGGTACATCATGCTCTTCATACATAATTCGGAACCTTCATCCTGGGACGAAGTATATAAAAGCTCGTTCACAAAGTTCCAATGAATTAGATCTATAATTGGCAAATTTTATTTCTTAATTATAAAAAATGTTGTATTTGCTTTATTTTTATTTAAAAAAATTAATTTTATTTAAAAATAATAAATTTTTAAATTTAAATGTAATTTTATATTTAGAGTGAATTCTCATGAATTATTGATTTGATTCAGATTTTAACACTTATATTAGCGTATGATAAATTGTGTATATGTATTGTATACTGATCAAAAAAATTAAGGTATAGAAAAATTTTGGACAAAAATTGGCCAACTTTGATAACATTGCGAAAAATTATTCTAGGATGTTTTTTTTTTAAATTAAAGTTTGAATTCTCTACTTTAAGATCTGGCTATGGCCAGATTTTAAATTTAATGCACCCCTATCACTGTAACTCTCAAAATATGAGAGTGTATTTGTCATATTGAAAATTGTTTGACGGAATTCACCGGTATTCCCCGCTACAAACGGCATTCCCCTAAAAAATTTTAGAAAGTTCATGCATTCCGTCAAACTTTGCAATTTTCAAAATGACAAATATATCCTCATATTTTGAGAATTACATTGGTAAGGCTTCATTATGAGAAATACATATGTGTCAAATTTATGCATTTATATCATGCATTATTCCAGGGTTTACCAGGACTCAAAGGAGACAAAGGAAGTTTCGGTTCACCGGGATTATTAGGACTTCCTGGCGCGAGAGGACTACCCGGAGAACCTGGACAAAAAGGAGAAAGGGGCATAATAGGACCAATCGGCCCCGAAGGTCCCTCAGGTAGTATTTTATGTCATTTAAATTAATTTTAAAATATAAACAATTATAATTTGAAATAAAATGAGACCAATGAGAATAAATCTAATTAATTAAGAGAAATGCTATTGTTCGATTGTAACAAATCTTGATGATCAAATGTTCTGTATGAATTTATATATATATATATA